TTTATTGTTCTGTTCATGTGTCTATTACTGTGTTCTTTCATTCATGACGTTTTGAACGATTCATCTGTTTATTCATATGTTCATTGATTTTTGTTCATTCACATATTCATTCATCCATTCTTGATCGAAAAGTGTGTTTGCTTTTATGTTTTGAAGCTATTTAGTTAGTTAATTTATTAAGTACATATAAGTAAATATGTTTAATAGTTTAAATTTGGTATTCAATAGACCCATTTAGGATTGAATCATGATTCCCAGAATTGAGTCACACTGAATTGTGAGGTTTCTAAAAATTCCCACCCCCACTTTACGCATGTTTCAGGCCTTTTATTTGAAGAGTATCAGGTTTGTTTGTGTGTTTTAATAGAGTAGATAACAGTGAGACTGTTTGTGTGTATAAGATTAATCTGGGATTTAAATAAATGAATCATCTCAGATCATTTGTCTCATAATAACATTTGCAAACACGACACAGACCCAAACAAAACAGACGCGCCCCTCGGCCCATCATTAGATAGCATGGCTGTGCCGTGACCCGTTAATGGAAGGTAATGTACCCTACAGAGTGTTAATATGGGGTGAAAGCAGCTCAGTGTGTGTGTGTGAGACAGTCAGAGAAGAGTTATGAGCCAGACTGCGTGCCATCGGACGGGTCAGCGGGCATCTAATGGAGGCATTCAATAATAATCTGCCGCTCGTGCCATGTCTTTTTACTGTGTGTGTATTAGTGTAATGGTAGTATCCGGTGTATGTATTGATGACTCCAGGGATCGATGCGTCCTGGGTTACGATCCATCCATTATGTGCATGTGTGCGTGTGTGTGTGTGTCTGTCTGTGTAATATTGAAGATCTCTGCATTTGTGCTGGCAGTGAAATTGTGTTACAGACATGAACAGGAGAGTTTTTAACTGATCTGTCCATCAATTCTAATGACTAAATATAATGTAGAAACTTAAATTTTCTGTAAAGCTGCTTTGCAACGATTTGCATCGTGAAAAGCGCTATACAAATAAACTTGAATTGAATTGAAATTCAACCATTTGTTTGTTTATTTGTTCATTCTTTCATTAGTTTGTTCATTTATTTGTTCATATATTCATTCATTACTTAGATTCATGATTGTTCTTTTGTCTATTCAGTCATGTTCATTTGTTCATCCATTAGTTTATTTGTTGTTCTGCTTATTTGTCTTTTTCTGTGTTCTTGGATTCAATAGTTTATTGATTTATTCATTCGTATGCTTGTTAGTTTTTCGTTCATTCGCTCAAGTTATTAGTTAATTTGTTCATTTATTCTGTGATTTGTTCATTCTTGTTCATTGAATTGATTTATATTCATTTATTAATTTATTAATTTGTAATTTATTGGTTCATGTTCATTCATTAGTTTCTTTGTTGTTCTGTTCATTTGTCCATTTCTTTTCTCTTTGGTTCATTAGTTTGGTAATTGATTCATTCATAGTTCATTGGTTTTGTTCGTTAGTTTGTTAATTTATTGAATGATTTCTTCATTCTTTAATTAAGTTGATCAAATCTTTAATTGATCATACATTGCTTTAATTAATATGTTTGTTCTATTGTCTGTTCATTCATTATATTAGTCATGTTCATCTGTTCATTCATTAGTTTTTTCATTGTTCTGTTCTTTGTTTAATTATGGTTTTTTATTTGTCAGTTTGTTGATTGATTCATCCATTCATGTTTGATTATTTTTTGTTCATTAGTTTATTAGTTTGCTTGTCAATTTATTCCGTCATACTTTCATTAGTTTGAACATTTATTTGTTCATATGTTCATATTTATTCATTACTTTAATTCATATATTCTTTTTTTCTGTTTCATTTATTCAGTCATGTTCATTTGTTCATTCATTCGATTGTTTGTTCATTCATTCGTTCATTCATTCATTTTTGTTCATTCATTTATTAGTTTATTCTGTCATTTGTTCATTCTTTAATTAGTTTTTTCATTCAATCATAACTTCAATTGTTCATTTATTACTTTAATTCATGTTTGTACTTTTGTCTGTTCATTCATTTATTCAGACATGTTCATTTGTTCATTCATTAGTTTATTTCTGTTCACTTGTCTATTTCTGTATTCTTTGATTCGTTAGTTTGTTGTGTGATTCATCCGTTCATTCGTATGTTCATTGATTTTTGTTCATTTAGTTTATTAGATCATTAATTTATTCCTTCATTAGTTTATTCATTTATTAGTTCATTTATTCATTCATTACTTTAATAATTCATGCTTGCTCTTTTGTCTGTTCATCAGTTTGTTCTGTCATGTTAATTTGTTCATTCGTTAGCTTATGTATTCATCTGTTTATTTGTGTTCTTTCATTCATTAGCTTTTGACTGATTCATTAATTCAGTCTGACGTCTGTTCATTCACATATTTATTAGTTTGTTGTTTAATTAGTTCGTTCTTGTTTGCTCATTTGTTTGCTGATTGATTGATTCATTCATTCTTACATTAGTTCAAATAAAATGTTCTTTGGTCTGTTCATTCTTTTATTAATTCAAGTTTATTTGTTCATTCAGTAGTTTTATTTATACCGTTCATTTTGTTTATTTCTGTTCTTTCATTCATCAGTTTGAATGATTCCTCTGTTCAGTGATACATGTACATTCTCATATTCATTCATTCGTTCATCCGTTTATTAATTCATCCATTCTTGTTTGTTCATTTGTTTGTAGATTCATTCCTTCATTTATTCAGTTTGTCTATACAGTGTTCATTCATTAGTTTGTTCATACATCCAGTCTTTGTTCATAGATTCATTCATTTGTTTGTTCATTTTATCTGTTTATTCATCTATTCATACATTAATTCTTGCCCATGTTCATAATTTTGTTCATAATTTTGTTAATTCACTATATGTTTGTTCTTTTGTCTGTTCGTAAATTTATTCAGTCATGTTCATTTGTTTGTTCATTCATATGTTCATTGATTTGTTTGTTAATCAATTCATCCATTCACATTTAGTTCGTAGATTCATTCGTTCAAGTATCAGTTTGTTTGTCTGTCCATCAAGCATAGCGTTAGTTCTGGCAGGTCACGTTAGTCAAGCTCGCATCAGCTGACCTTCAGCTGATCCCCATCTACCTATAGGAATACGACACCTATCTAAGCATTCATATATACGGTCCCTCAGTATTATCAGCAGTTTTCGCATTGCTCAATAGCTAATTACCCTCCTCCATCCCCAGCTCCTCCTCTGTCAGTCGGGATTCAGCCTTCTGATTCTCCTTTGAATCAGACTAATTCTAAAATGTGTACATACAATTATTGAACTTTAACGATATCTGTAATACATTGATGTTAGTTCTGCTCTGTTTACCCTGGGGGGTTATTGCTGCTCTCCCTGCTCTCATCCATGCTAGGCTGCATGGAGGCGCAGGGAGTTCTTGCCCAGAACAGAACCATACCGCCAATCCAAACTGTATGCTAATTGTCAATCATCTTTGACGATAGTGGTCCTGACAGAAATTTATTTATCCATCTGTTCATTCATTTATAAGTTTATTCATTCAAAGCAAAGAGTAGGAATGATAGAGGGAGCGTAAAAGAGAATGTCAGAGATCTCACAACGTCGTGCTTATTTGAACTTGAGCTAAAAATAAGCTGCAGTTACTCCATTAACCAGGGATCACTTAGAGACGACTGTGAGATCCTGTTTCATAATGAGACCCAAAAACAGTTCCTGCTTGTGAAGCCTCTCCGGACCCCAAACGAGCTCGGCAGACGCAAATTACAGTATAAGAGGCTCTGAGAAAACTGACATTTGTGAATAAATTGGTGTAATGGGAATTTTTGTTGCAAAAGTTTATTCTGAGATATTGAGAGATGTGTTATGCATTCTAAACCTAATTTCATACAATGCTTCAATTGTACACCACCATTCAAAAGCACAGTAATATTGTGAAATATTATTACAATTTAAAATGACTGTTTTATATGGTAATATATTTAAAATGTAAATTACATTGATCACTTCTGATTAGTAATGTAATGAAATGTTATTGCAATTTAAAATAACTGTTAATAGTAATATTGTAATAGTATTATTGTGAAATATGATTACAAACTAATATAACTGTTTTATATTGTAATATATTTTACAAAATAAATAAAAATATAATGTTTGATTAGTAATATTTGATTAGTCGTGGCGTAATGCTTAGAGAGTCGGACTTGTCACCCAAAGGTGTTTTATATTGTAATATATTTTAAAATGTTCATTAAAATAACCACTTTTGAACAGTAATAACTGCTAAATATTTTTACAATTTAAAATAGCTGTTTTATATTTTAACGTGCTTTTATGTTGTAATGTATTTTAAAGTATAAATTAAATTAGTAATGATGCGAAATATTATTACAATTTAAAATAACTGTTTTAATATATTTCAAAACGTAAATTAAAATGATCACCCTCATACATCTTTGCTAAATTAAAGTATTAATTTCTTTCAAAAAATCTTACTGACCACAGACTTTTTAATGCGAGCTGGAATTTAAATTAAAATGATCACCCTCATACATCTTTGCTAAATTAAAGTATTAATTTCTTTCAAAAATCTTACTGACCCCAGACTTTTGAATGCGTGCTGGAATTGAAATTAAAAGGATCACCCTCATACATCTTTGCTAAATTAAAGTATTAATTTCTTTCAAAAATCTTACTGACCCCAGACTTTTGAATGCGTGCTGGAATTGAAATTAAAAGGATCACCCTCATACATCTTTGCTAAATTAAAGTATTAATTTCTTTCGAAAATCTTACTGACCCCAGACTTTTTAATGCGTGCTGGAATTTAAATTAAAATGATCACCCTCATACATCTTTGCTAAATTAAAAATGCGTGCTGGAATCGATGATTTGCAAGCCCATCATCTAATGGAAATTTTGAAATGCATCAAAAAGCAGTACGCTTCTCTATATTTCCCACTCACTTCCTGATGTTTCATGTTGTCTGTGTTTTTTTTCCCAGGTGATGATGACTTCCTGTTGGGGTTGGGTGAGCTGCCGGAGACCTTCCCCAGCGACCCTCCAGAGCCCCTCCCACACTTCCTGCTGGAGCCGGAGGACGCTTACATCATCAAGAACAAAGCTGTCAATCTCTACTGCACGGCCACGCCTGCCGCTCAGATCTACTTCAAATGCAACGGCGAGTGGGTCCATCAAAGAGAACACACCATAGAGGAGCGGGTGGACGAGACGTCGGGTCAGTCACACACACACAGCATCACTCTCCTTTATGGGTCGGAAACATTACAGCCTTTTCTGAGGTGCAATAAAAATGTGATAGCTCTGCTTTATTCATGGTTTTCATTGCTAAAGGTGCTGCTAGAGAGATAGATAAACCCCTTCCTGACACATACAGTTTTGTGTATTATTTATGTGATGTTATGAGAGCTTTTTTATGAAGGCTTCTTTATATGACTGCTATGGACACAGGGAGTAAGTATAGTCAACACCAATTGTGATCAGAGACAAGACCTAGACCACTTTCACTGACCGTGGATATATATGGAAGCTTGTTTCCGCCATGGGATAAAAACAAACCAAAAAAACTTTTTATCTCACAATTCAGACTATTCTCACAATTCTGAGAAAAAATGTCTGAATTTCAAAAAGAAAGTCAGAATTTCGAGTTTATATCTCGCAATTCTGACTTCTTTTTCTCACAATTGTGATTCACAGTATATCGCACAATTCTGATATTTTTCTCAGAATTGCACGTGTATATCTTGCAAGTCTGCGTTTATATCTCGCAATTATGAATTCAGATCAATTTAGTTCAATGTTGATTCAATTCAGTTCAAAAACTGTCAGTGTTGCAAAGTTCAATTATAAAACAAGTTTAATTCAGCCACACTGTAAAAAAATTGCATTTTTACATTTTTTACATTTACATTTTTTTTATTCTTTGTAAAATTTGCTAGCAATTTCTGAATGAAAATTATTTTAAAGTAAGTCCTACATCATACTTTTTCAGTGTATAAGTAGCTACAAAAACTAATCTACCATAGTCATTATTCAGCTCAAGTAAGTTCAATGTTGATTCAATTCAGTTCAAAAACTGTCAGTGTTGCAAAGTTCATCCATTATGAAACAAGTTTAATTCAGCCACCGTAAAAAAAAATTTAATACTACTTCAGTCTTTCTACTTAACATTTTTTCTTGAATTACATTTTTTTTTTTAAATTTTACATTTTTAAAATGTAAAATTTTTTACATTTAAAATTTGTAAAATGTCTTTGTAAAATTTGCTAGCAATTTCTGAGGGACAAATAAAGTAAAGATTGATTGAGTGAAAATTGTTTCAAAGTAAGTCCTACATCATATTTTTCAGTGTGTAAGTAGCTACAAAAACGAATCTACAATAGAGTCATTATTCAGCTCAAGTAAGTTCAATGTTGATTCAATTCAGTTCAATAACAGTGTCAATGTTGCAAAGTTAGTGTCATCCGGCTCAATTCAGTTCAGATTTTGTCCTCCTCCGATAGTGTCAGTGCAGTTAAATCGATAACATTATTCTTTAATAATTGTCTTTTAAACAGAAGATACTAGAGATTTCGAGTGAAATAATTAAATAAATAAGGTATGCACTCTCAATAAAAAAGGTGTTTTATTGGTTTTATGGTTTCATGAAGAACCTTTAACATATGTTTGAGGAGCCAAAAATTGTTGTTCTGTTTTTAAGAGTGTTGTTGATTTAATCAGGTGAGCAAAACACAGTGTCTGTTGTCTTTTTCGGTCACGATTCTGTAGCTCAAACTGTATCTCATAGCATTAGCAGTGCCAAGGTCAAGGGCTCGATTCCCAGGGAATGCATGAACTGATGATATGGTATGTATACATTCAATGCAAAGTCCGAGCATCTGCCAAATGCATAAATATCTTTTCACATTGCGACAACAGAATGCAGAGTAAAAGCCAAGAACAGTGAGTGATCCAGGTCCACTTTTGGTGATAGTCAAATGCTAATGTGTTACAATTCATAGTCATTTCTTTTCCACTTTCAAAATGTTCTATACAAGGAAACTTGCAGTGACATAAAAACCATGAGCGCAGAGCAGATGGGTATTGGCATATTGGTATTACTGGTTACTGTACTGGTATGAAGAAGATGAATAAGTGCTAATTAAACAAATTAAAGATTTTAATTATCTACTATCATGTTCAGAAGTTTGGGGATTGTAAGACTGTTAAATGTTTAAAGAAGTCTCTTCTGCTCGCCAAGGCTGCATTTATTTGTTACTCAGAGGGCCTCGTTTAAACAGACGTGTTAGTATATTTACACAACAGAACGGCATTCAGAAAAACGTCCGCCATATTCACAAAGTCAAGTAAGTTTCCATTGTTTTCTAGAAGAACGATCATTTATCTTTTGGTGGGCAATAGTGATGGGATTTGAGCTCGTAAAAACTGAATGTATAACATAATTAGAAAAAAAATATTGTTGAAGTATTCATCTAATATTTTTAATGCATGAAAAATGCTGCACAGGGACATCCATGAATGTTTTTTGGAGTGATCGTGAAAATGAATCCTTGAATCACTTGATTCATTGGCTATAACAGTTTGAACTGATTCACAGAAATTTATCAAATTTACTGACTCTAGCTGCTTTTATGCAACTGAATTTGAATTCTGGGATTGCATTTAAACGTCGCAGGCTTGATGCTCTTTTATTGAAAATATAAACTACCGTTCAAAAGTTTGAGGTCGGTAAGATTTTTGAATGCTTTCGGAATAGGTCTCTTCTGCTCACCAAGGCTGCATTTATTTGATCAAAAATACAGTAATATTGTGAAATATTATTACAATTGAAAATAACTGTTTTCTATTTGTATATAATGTAAAATGTCATTTATTTCTGTGATGCAAAGCTGAATTTTCAGCAGTCTTCAGTGGCACATGGCCCTTCAGAAATTTATTCTACTATGCTGATTTGCTCTTCAAGAAACAGTTATGATTATTGTCAATGTTTAAAACAGTTGTTCTGCTTCATATTTTTTGTGGAAACCATGATACATTTTCTTCAGGATTTTTTGATGAATAGAAAGCTCAAAAGAACAGCATTTATTTGAAATAGAAATCTTTTGTTATAGATTATAAATGTCTTTACTGTCACTTTTGATCTATTTGTTGCATCCTAGCTGAATAAAGCAATTGATTTCTTTAAAAAAATATATTACTGACCCCAGACCTTTGAACAGTAGAGTATGTTTGTGAACAATATACTCGCATGCACAGTTTTTCAATGTTTCAGATTCATCTGCCTTGTCTGTTCTTGACAGACGTCCCAAAGAGAAAATTGCAACAGGAATTCAGTTTTTATTCACAATAAGCCAAAACAAAAGTGTGTGTGTGTGTGTGTGTTTGTGTGTACTACTAACAGATCTCGTTGTAAACGCACCCCATCCCATTATTGCTGTCATTGATTTTCTGCCTGCGTTTATGTGTGTGTGCTTTTACATGCTTTGTGCGTTTTTATGCTTGCAAGGCTGCGCTGTATTGATATTCATCCAGCAGTCAATGTTAGAGGTGTTTTTAAGGCAATATTATTATTGCTAGTGCTCATAGTGCTTTGAACAAACCTCTAACATTAAATGTTAAGGTTCAGTGTGGGTCGTCCTGCAGTGATTGTGTTCAGTCGTGAATGATTCCTCAAATCATGTGTGTTGTTGACGAGAGGTGAGCTGGTACCTTAAGTGATCAGGCAGATGATTTTCACTTGCTGGACAATAAAACAGGAGAAAAAAAAAACTTACAAAAACAGACTTACATTGGTCTATAGATGTTGCTCTGGTCCTTCCTTCAGAGTATCTCAGAGATTTGAGGGTTTGACCAAAAAGCAACTTGTGAGTTCATCCACAAAATGCTCATGCTCTGAATTTTGTCTACATATTTTTGCAATCCAAACAACCCCTTTCATCAATGAAATGCAATTCTCGTTTACAAGATTAGCATTTTGTGGATGAAATGTATTGCATCTTTGCACAAAAATCACATTTAGATTCAGAATTTTGTGTGCATAATAAAGTTCTGACTGTACATTTCTATTTACAACATGCAACCTTGTTTTGTCTTGAAATACTGCATTTAACATTATACACTGCAATTATTTGACACCCCATACAAAACAAACGTGGAATACTTACATATGTGGAATGACAAACTGTGCCGAGTTCCACGTCCCAAAAAAATTTTTGTACGTTAAGCGACTATTCGTGAGCTTAATTAACTGCAGATATATATGGAGAAAAAGATTTCTCCAGAAAATGCAAATAGTGCAAAAATGCAATTTATAGATCATTTCAGCCTGAGATGTACCGTCACTATTTTTTGTACACTTCATAATTTTTAAGAAATTTAAGATAAAAGTTCCTCAGAATCTCCCAGTGACTACGATAGAATGTTTTGCACACAAAATGTAATTGACAGTGCATTCTGTTTAGTGATTGGTCTTCTTACTTACATTTATTTGCATACTGATTTGTGATTGGTCATTTCTTTCTTGCATCTTTTTAATCATCTTTAGCCGCCTTGTATTGTTCCTGCTGCCTTGCAAAAATTTTAGGTGATGCAAATCGAGTTTCCTATTTGTTTTTTAACATCTGTTTTAAATAATTATAGTTTGTTTGGTATTTCAATTTTTTTCTTTCACATTGTCTGTCTATTAGTAGTTCAATTTCTTTGTGTTTGTGTGTGTGTGTGTGTCCATCTGCAAAAGCATTTTAACACATGTGAAATTAATTACTTATGTCTATTAGTAGTTCTATTTCTTTGTGTGTGTGTGTGTGTGTGTGTGTGTGTGTGTGTGTGTGTGTGTGTGTGTGTGTGTGTGTGTGTGTGTGTGTGCACTGCAAAAATCATTTTCTTAATAAGTATTTCTTGTTTTCAAAATTAAAGCAAATTAAATAATTTAAGAAGAAAAATTACAGAATTAAGAGACCATGCATTATTATTTTTTGTCTTGTTTTTTCATGATCACATCTTGATTTCCATCCATTTTCTCATGATCTTGACTTGAGTGGAAAATGTTTTAAGCATAAATTATGTAATGTAAAATTAATGCTTAATACAAGAAGAAAAAAACATTATTTGTTCATACATAGATATATTCTCTGAAAGCAAGTCTTATATCCTATGAAATTTGCTTCTCAAATAAATGTATCTTGTTGTAAGGATATTTTAAAGAAAACAACACAAAATCCCTGCAGTGTGTCTGTCTGTCTGTTTCACTCACTGCATCGAGTTCTTGAGTGTGTAAACCATAAAGTTAGATCATCATTCTTCACCTCATCCTGTGTGAATCCTGCTCTATTCTCTTTTATAGCTGCTTGACCATGAGTGATGTTTGTTTAAACATTCATGTGTGTAAGTGTGTCTTTTCACCTCACTCCTTCTGTTCAAGGCTACAGGTTTCTTCCGTTCACATCCAGCATTCTGCACCAAATGCTGCCATAAACACAAAAACCCAAAGCACTAAACAAATAAACACAGAGAGGGTAAGTGTGAACTATTGATTTCTATCAGGGAATATTTCATGGAGACATTGAGGGGTTCATTATTTATACATGTAGAACAGAAGTCTGCTGGCAGAGCACTAAAATATATATAAAAACATCTCGCTTGCATCATGTGACATCGGTGTGATCGGCACTGACGTGGTGGGAGATTTGTAGACTCACAAGCTGTTCACAGGGCATCTGAGGAACTTTGTACACAAAAATGTCAACAGCTTTGTCAGGACTGATTTATGCAATTTCGTGTGAACATTTTACAACAACCTGAGTTCCACGGTCATACAGATTTGGACAATATGAGGGAAATGTTCTTGAATACGTGTTATTTTAGTATGACTGATATTCTATTATAGTTTTTGTTAATATTCTGAATTCTATTTTATATTTAAGCCTTTTCTTTTCACTTTAATTTTAGTTTTTACATTTTTGTGATTTTGTTGTGTTTTTGTCATTTTATACGTTTTTGTTTTTATTAATTGTTATTTATTAGTGTTATGTAATATTAGTTATTTTAGTACTTCAAGTTAAACTAAATGAAAATGAGAAATGTTGCCTTGGCAACTAAATTAGATCAAATAAGTTTCATTGTTGATTTATATTTTATTTCATTTAATGTTTATTTTGTTTCAAGTAACTTTTTTTTTCTTTTTTTTTTTGCAGTTATGTATTCAAATTGTTACCATTTATTATTTCTACATGATCTGACTATGAGGGAGAGGGAGTTAATAAAAACCTAATTAATAAAAAAAAAGTACAATTAAAATAAATAAATAAATACATGTAAAATAAAAACAATCAAAAATTAAACACACAACAATTAAACTAGATTAAATATTGTATGTTTACCTTCATGTCAATGCGAACATTAATAGACATCAGAGAACCATGAATGTGTTTTTAAATTATTAAAATATTAAATATTGTATATCAAAGAGGCTTGACTAACAAAACAGTTTATACGAACCCCCTCTGTAACCTAATGTAGGCATGTTGATTTAGTCATATCAAATAATATTTTTGTGACCCTACAAAGACAATTAATTATTGTATTAATTATGGTTTAATTCAAAACTATGAATTATTGTACAATTTATGGTGAAAACAGTAAAGGAACATTCCCAGAAGTCCATACATGACACATATGATTACATTTTACATTAATAAATCTTTTTTTTTTTAATTCTTTTCTTCTCAATTTGCTATCAGTAATGTACATTTGTTTTTTTTTGTTTTTTTTACATTTTGTCAAGTTATTTTTTGTTTGTTTATTATTTATTTGTTTTATTTTATTTTATTTTTTCCATTTAATTTCTGTCAACCACAGCTGCCAGTTTTTAACCATGAATTTAAAAGTTTTTTTTTAATTTGTCATTTTATACGTTTTTGTTTTTATTAATTGTTATTTATTAGTGTTATGTAATATTAGTTATTTTAGTACTTCAAGTTAAACTAAATGAAAATGAGAAATGTTGCCTTGGCAACTAAATTAGATCAAATAAGTTTCATTGTTGATTTATATTTTATTTCATTTAATGTTTATTTTGTTTCAAGTAACTTTTTTTTTCTTTTTTTTTTTGCAGTTATGTATTCAAATTGTTACCATTTATTATTTCTACATGATCTGACTATGAGGGAGAGGGAGTTAATAAAAACCTAATTAATAAAAAAAAAGTACAATTAAAATAAATAAATAAATACATGTAAAATAAAAACAATCAAAAATTAAACACACAACAATTAAACTAGATTAAATATTGTATGTTTACCTTCATGTCAATGCGAACATTAATAGACATCAGAGAACCATGAATGTGTTTTTAAATTATTAAAATATTAAATATTGTATATCAAAGAGGCTTGACTAACAAAACAGTTTATAGGAACCCCCTCTGTAACCTAATGTAGGCATGTTGATTTAGTCATATCAAATAATATTTTTGTGACCCTACAAAGACAATTAATTATTGTATTAATTATGGTTTAATTCAAAACTATGAATTATTGTACAATTTATGGTGAAAACAGTAAAGGAACATTCCCAGAAGTCCATACATGACACATATGATTACATTTTACATTAATAAATCTTTTTTTTTAAAATTCTTTTCTTCTCAATTTGCTATCAGTAATGTACATTTGGTTTTTTTGGTTTTTTTTACATTTTGTCAAGTTATTTTTTGTTTGTTTATTATTTATTTATTTTATTTTATTTTATTTTTTCCATTTAATTTCTGTCAACCACAGCTGCCAGTTTTTAACCATGAATTTAAAAGGTTTTTTTTAATGCATGCAGTCTAATATCTTTTGAAGATGTGCTCTCATTCAGAGATGTCCAGTTATTGAAGCAGGATTGGGCATAAGGCTGATGTTTGCACATTTAACATGTACAGTTTATCAATTCGAACCCATGACCTTGAGATTGCTTACTCTGCTGATTGAGCTACAGGAACGCTTTGAGACGGGAATGTTTACACAAAAATCCTGTCTCTTGTTTAGTTAGCAACATGAAAAGAAAGCATTCTTGGCATATTTTTTAGATAAGTAAGCACGGCCATCCTGAGGATTCTTTGATCACTTCTTTGAAAACTCATGCAGCTACACTTTCTTTGCAAGTACTTGTAATGCAGAAATTGCGGATTGCCTTGTTACATTAAAAAAACTTTTTTTTTGAAAAATTCTGCGTGTTGTCAATCAGTGTGGACCAGACATTGTGCCGAGAGTCTGATGCATGTGTGTGTGTGTGTGTGCAGGTTTGGTGGTGAGGGAAGCATGGATCGAGATCTCCCGGCAGCAGGTGGAGGAGTTGTTTGGTTTGGAAGATTACTGGTGCCAATGTGTCGCCTGGAGCTCCGCAGGAACCACCAAGAGCCGCAAGGTGCACGTCCGCATCGCATGTGAGTATATAAACACACACACACACACACACAGTGCTTTTATGAGAGGAGTCTTTGCTCTGTCTGCTCTGACTGCAGGAGATTTCTCTGTCTGACAGACACTTTGGCTTCATGTTTATTGACACACACACACACACACACACGGTCTGTGAGAAAGTCTGTAAGCTGGATGAAGGTAATGGAGTATTTATGCAGATCAGAGTCTGCAGACAGGAGACTGTCTGGAGCACACAAACACACACACACTCACACACACACGGGGAACTGTCTGGATATCGCTTTATGGTTGTATTAATCTTGTTAATTTCCTGCAGTTCATCTTGAGTGTGTGTGAGTTGGGAGCAGGTTATCGGTGCGGCCCAAGGGCACTTCACTCTCTCTCTGTCATCTCGGGCTGAGTGTGTGTGTGAGAGAGACACAGGGACATGGAGACTGAAGCTGACTGGCAGTACAACACAATAAACTTCCTCTCATCTGGATGCTTTCAGGATCAGAGCTAAATAAATCAATGCTGCTTTAGGACAGACAGACAGACAGAGACAGACAGACAGACAGACAGATAGATAGATAGATAGATAGATGAATGCATGAAATAGATATTACAAAAAGTAGGTTTAGAAAGATTTTTTTCATTCTTTTTTTTAAATTTTCTTTTTAATTTTTGGGTGAACTATCCCTTTAATAAATAATTTTTTTGTTAATATGGATTTTTTTATTTTCAGATTTTTTATTAATATGTAAATATGAAATCATTTTTAATTAAATTAGACTCTATTAATACGAAACTAAAATTGCCAGTAGGTGGCAGTAAATGTTTTACTGAGTAAGTCATTCGATTCATTCAAACTGCTGATTCATTCAGGAATGAAGTAAACGGCTCTCTTTATGAATGGGCCATTAAATCATTGGTTCACCCGATTTGTTCAAAATTAGTTTCTTTCAGAAACTGTGTGTTGCTTGGAGACACGCAACAGTTCTGCTGTGGCTTTAATAGGTATATAAAAACTGATCAAAAACATACAATATTGTGTCTAAAATATAACACAGTAGCTTCTTATTTAGTGAACTGTTGTATAAAATCAATATCACATTTGCACATTTGGGACAAAAACAGCACTCGTGTGATAGTGAAAGTGAAGTGACGTGTGGCCAAGTATGGTGACCCATATTCGGAATTTGTGCTCTGCATTTAACCCATCCAAAGTGCACACACACACCGTGAACACACACACACA